ACTGTATTAGAATAGCTCTCCGCCCGTTCTATGAGGTTCTAAATGGCTGTCCCCAGTTCTGCCCACCCATGAATGTCCAAAGTACGGGTTCGGGCTATCCTTTACGAGGGCTATTACAGCGGACTAGACGGAAGAAAAGTTAGAGTGCAAAATACAAGTCTGCGCAGGCCTTAATGCAGACTAAGCTGAATGTGTTTTCCTGATCAGATACGCGGAACCTACTGTGCCAGGCTAAGTCCCAGAGCAACACCCCCGGTCCTAAACAGATTTCTTCTTGCACCGCAGCTCGACAAGTATACAGGGACAGCACTAAAGTGTCCAGATGCCGCTAAGCCCAAACCCTAAGCCCTAAACCTGCAGAGACCTACGGAATTGGAGACAAAGAAGGCAAGCCATGTCAAGCCTGCAAGATACATAACCTACCCTCAAGTTTTGCGAGCTTACTTGACTGCTTCGGAGGCCGCAGCTGAAATCCAAGATATTGGAAACTACCGGTTTTTTACACATGCACACATGGATACATACGTAATCATGCGGGAGATTTCCGGTTCATTATGGGCGCGTCTACTGAGACTTTCTGGATAGTCTCCCTGTAAGGCATTGGGCAATGGCGTAGACGTACTATTGTGCGGAGAAAAAAGAAGTAGCTTGTCCAAATCACGGCCCTTTCCGCTCCCCAGTCTAATATATGGCCCCTAATATTTGAGGTACCCAAAAAGGGGCGTCGACCCTAGCACTGAAACCTTGAACCCCTATGAACCCCTGAACCCTAAACCCTAAGCCCTGGATCTTCTATAGGGGTTGAGGTTTAGGCATGCGGCTTTCAGGGAAGAACGGGAAATGGGAAAGAAAAGGGAAGCTACGGTTTAGGGCGTCGGGCTTCGGGGATAATACCCCAAACATGGAGAGTCACATGGAAAAGCAAGTGGAAACATGAAACTGGGATGACGTAGTGGCTTATGGGGCTTCGGGTATGCTTAAAACACCAGTCCCCAAAAATCATAGCCCGAAGATCGGTTTCCTTCTTGTTTAGGGTTTGGGGTTTAGTGTTGTTCGAAAGGGTCCTGAACCCTAAACCCCAACCCTAAATCATATAGGGAACCCCTCCCCTGCAAAAGCATCCACGTGCAAAATGCATCCTGCCTGTACTCGAACGCGCTTTACTGCCTTCCTTTTGTTCTTTCTTGACTTAAGAGAATTCGGAGATAGAGGTTTCCCAAAATTCAGAGTTACCTTCTTGAAGGGCCCCCAAAATAAGGATTATGCAGTTGCAGTAAGTATTTGAAGGCCATATGGGGGTTCCCCTATTTTATAGGTTTTGCCGCATGTTTTCAAGCGAGGGCCCCGCTCAGCGAATGCATGATTGTTGCGGCACGTGCCCAGAAAGCACCTAGACCTCCGAAATACCCGTACTAGTTGCATGCATATAGTCCCCCTTAAGTAGATAGAATATGGGTCATATGGGGTCTTATTTTCAGATACCCAAAGCCATATTCTATCTACTTAAGGGGGACTATACCCACTATTTGGCAAAAATCTTTTTTTGTATTAAGGAGGTCTAGGCAAGCCGTACTTGTCATTTGCACCTCATCTGAAGTTTCCCTTCCTGGCTCCTCGTAGGGAATGACTGGCTTCAAGTAGTATATTCGGAGGTTGTGACCTCTGTTGTGCTAGCTCCAAGACATCGCCAAGGTGGGAGAGCGCTTTGAACCTCTTCTCCAGGCCATTTCCCATCAGGTAGTGTTTGGGTTGAGGGTTTAGGGTTTATAGTCCCCCTTGCCCTGTAGGTCAAACCTATAGGTTTTACCCATGATTACAAGACTCAGCCTAAAGTCTCAGAGCCTTAAACCCTAGACTCCCAAATCATTACACAGCTTGATTTTATTAAAAACCCTTAGATCCTGAAACCCTTGTATTTACTCTAATACAAAATCTATCCTAAACCCTCAGTCCGAAACCCCTTTACCCTAAAGCCCTTAAACCCTGGACCCGTAAACCCTTGACCCCTAAACCCTTTAACCCCTAAACCCTAAGCCGCTGAAAGAAACTCCTAAATACTTCAGCCGGCCGCCGCATACCGAGCGTGGGTGTTCTTTTGGATACTCCCTAAACCCTAAACCCCTAAACCCCTAAACCCCTAAACCCTAAACTCCTAAACCCTAAACCCCAAAACCCTAAACCCCTTAACCCTAAACCCAAAGAAACTTCGCTCACCACTCATTGCAGCATTGAACCTGGAACCCCCAAAGTAAGTAGAATAGTATCCCAACATCCCTAAAGAGCCGAAAGGGTCATTATTCTACATACTTTTGGGGGCTTCAGGCTCTTTGTAGTATGAGGGAAATAGAAACAATGGTGGCCATTGTACTAGGTTACTAGCAGTTCTCAGATTATAGGAGCAAGAAAATACATACGGATATTCTTGCTAGTGTTAGTGCGAGCAGGGAGACGAAGGTAAGTGAGCCCCGAAAGGGGTCTGTAGTGCTGCATGAATTGGCATATTCCCCCCGCCCCCCCGCTCCCAACCCCTCCCCCCACATTCTGCACGCTGAGCCACGATGAACCTGCAAATTGGCCCTGTGACTGGCTTGGGGTTTTGGGTTAATATCCCCCTCAAGTAGATCGAATATGAGGTACATGGGGATCTGACTATAATATACCCAAAGCCATATTGTATGTGCTGAAGGGGGACAGGGGGACTAGAGTCTCTTGCTCTCTGTGTGCGCTTTGAGGTACCCCCGCCATGGTCAATTCTTAGGAGCGCTTTTGTTTAGCATGCGTGGAGGGTGCTGAGCAGGTGTCCCCACACACCGAAAGTAAACTCGTGTGTACTATAGCCTAAACTCCTGGAAGGGGGGTTGTGTAGGGGAGTATATAGGTGACTATGTGACTCTTATAGTGGTTATTAAGGGGGATACTCGGAGTTTAGATCATAGCTCGTATAAGTATCGCCCTAAAGCCGGGAGCGTCGCCGCCCCACACAACCAAGTTGGCCATGACACGCAGGCTGGCATTGCAAAGGCGCCGCTTGCTCCCACCTCAGTTTGCTGGGAGTTCTCAGCATGGGTCAGGGTTTAGGTCAAGGTGTTGTTGGGATAAAGGGGCTCGTTACATAGGTCCAAATTTTTCACAGCCCCTCACATCGAATTTACCCAATGAAAGCTTATGGTGCCCATTAAGTAGATAGAATATGGCTTTGGGTATGTTATAATCACATCCCCAAGGCCCCATATTCTATCTACTGAGGGGGACTCTATGCATTTTGGCAGCGGAACTTGAGCTTTCGCATTGGTGTTACGAGACTCAGCTATCAGGCTCCAAGTTGGAATCGGGTTAGGGATTTAGGGTTTTAGGGTTTAGGGTTTAGGGGTTTAGGGTTTAGGGTTTAGGTTTTAGGGAATTTCTTAACATTCTAGGGGCTTCAGGGGGCTGGAGACCCTTGTAGCCTGTTGGGGGTCATATGGGTACTACCTGGTTGTACATAAGGCCTATATAAAGGTTATATAAGGTAATGGGATTAGGGGTCCCTTCTAGGGGTCCCTCCTAACAACTGTTGAAACATGGTCGGTACCCATTTCCACATATCCCAAGGCTCCTCCAAGCAGCCCCCTTCATCTGAGAAACCATTTCTAGAGGGCTCAGAATTCCATGGTCGCCTTTAAACGGAGATTCAGCGACCTTGGTGGGATCATGTTATGGAAGGGCCGTGAACTTGGTAAGACTGAGACAGTTGCCTGACGTACTGGTTTTCCTAGCTGCACTTTGGCATACTGAAGTCTACGCATGCCTCTTTGAGAGGTAGTTTTTTACAATTCCCAATGGCCACTATAACAAGTTCAATACCCCCGATCTGAAGTATGCGTGCTCGGGTAATGGTGAGCAAACTGGTATCTCATGTCTCGCATCCACAAAGCCATTTGCACACAAAAGTTTGCCTAGTATGTAATTCTTGGCCGAATGCACATAGAACACCATGAGATCCGAATATCGCTAAACCCTATGTAAACCTTCAAGCCCTGACTTCACAAAAGTTTCATGCCATTGCTTCGGAGCCATAACTTCCCAGGCTCAAGCCCTGCTGTAAGTGGCCAGTGCTCCCTGACTTAAAGCCAGTCCAGATTGCTCGTCGCCATGTGCAAGTGTGGAAAGACATGCTCCAGGGTGTCTGTCGGAGCCCCTCGGACTACTTACTCAGGCTTGTAAGCAAATTTTGGTTGGTCACTACTCTGCATTTGCTCTGGTCGCAAGGAGAGGTCAGTACTTTTTGCATCAGATTTTAAACAAACATCCCACCTGGAGTATATACATATATATATATATATTTATATTTATACATACCCTAAACTTTAACCCTAAACCCGTAAGCCTAAACTTTAACCCTAAACCCATAAGCACTGAACTCAGCCCTTGCAAGTAAGGTGGGCTTGCTGCTGACCATCGCGGGCATCGCCTTGCTGCTGGTTGGTGCAATGGGATTGAGCAGCCTGAGCCTGGACTTAGTTAATGTACTGTTTAGGGTTTAGGATTCAGGGATTAGAGTTCAGGGATTAGGGTTTAAGGTTTAGGGTACTGGTGGCTTTAGGGTTTAGGGATTACGTTAGTATAAATTTTATACGGATTATATGGATTATACATATATATATATAGGAATCATATTCCCTTATTCCCGACGAATAACAGCCAGCAAGTTTAAGGGTTTAGGGGTGTTGGGTCTAGGGTAAAGGGATTAGCGCAGGGTGCAAGTACCGAACAAGCATACTGGTCCCCAAAACCTGCACTACAAGTACTAAAACCAAAGCCCCAACTACTCAGTTATTGGGTGCATGGACCCTTGGGGATTATTCACGTCCTGTGGCTGCTAGAGTCGAAACCAAAGCCCCAACTACTCAGTTATTGGGTGCATGGACCCTTGGGGATTATTCACGTCCTGTGGCCGCTAGAGTCGTTTCGTTTGTTGCTGTGCCGCTAGCCACACGTACCAAATAGGAGAACTTCTGCAGGAGCATCAATGTGAGCGCAGAGATTGATGGTGGGATGACCGGCATGCTCTCATCTGCCGCGGAAGTTCAATGCCCCTACCTGATCTTCGTAGAGAAGGACGTCGACTGCGCCAGTTTCCAAAGCTCAACAGTTTTCACGAGCGTCGACGCAACCATGGATGCCAGCATTTGCGGCGACGGCGAGCTCCCCGAGGACGGTGTGAGCCGAGCCCCAGCGCAGCGTACCTTGAACGATCTGGACTGGACCATTGGTGCGTCCGAGACAAAGCTCACCGACTTGAAGCTGGCCGCCCAGGTCACTTTCAGCCAAGAAGGCGACGCGTCCATCACCAGCGGTGAGGACATGTGGTCCATGCAGCTTTGCGAGGTCTTCGAAGAGGTCTTCGCCGTGGCGGGCCGCTCCATCATCATGATTGCCTGCGGCACCTCGGATCAACTTAAGGGGACAGATGGCTACCAGAAGACTGATGGAGGCTCAGGACCAGGTACTAAATGCTGATGTACCACCGCCAGGCTTGTTTTGCTGCTGCTGCTGCTGCTGGAATTTCACAATGCCAAATGTGAAGGGAAGGCATGTGCAGGTCTTGCCAAGAATGCGCTGCATTGCGCGTTTGTACCTTGATATTGCAGACGTGGTGGTCTCCCAAAATCAGGGGTACTTTTTTCGGGGATCCCTAGAAAGCACTATAGTATCCATTAATGACGGAGCCTATGTTAGGGTCCCCCAATTTTGTGAAATCGCCTAGTACACCTCTGGTCAGTTTCAATGCCAATAATCAAGGACAGTTCCAGGTGGG